ACCCATTGCCAACTGTTTTCTTGCGGTTCATCTAAGACTCTCATCAAGGATGAAGCCATTCATCATTCAACCACTTAAGGATAAATTGCCTCACCATTCCCAATCTTTGTTCGATATCAGTTCACGTGCACTTGTAGTGCTCGGTGTATCGGACACAACGAGGCGTCTGTCTAAGAGAATTTCTGAACACTGTCCGGCCACTCTTCGAAAAAGAGCAAGGAGAAGCATGAAAAGCTCAACCCTGCAACATTTGGTAGAGAGTGAAAATAGGAATGACCCAGAAACATCATTTACCAGTTTCTTCACTGCACCTAAGAACCACACCAAAGTGTTACGTAAGAAGATCCAAACAACTACGAAATCTATAGCAATTGGAATTGTGAAGACGGAGTTGTTCAAGCAAACGTAATCTGGTTCAGGCGCTGCTGTTACCATGGCCATTAAGACAATTGTCCATATCTCTCTATAACACTTCCTAATCCCTCCCTCCCTTCACACCCACCCCATTCTAATTCACATTTATTGTCTTTCTGCGCACACTTTTACAACTGTTTTATTCATTCTTGAATAACACCTTTCATATCGTGTCCGGTTCACACATTTTTCATCGGGCTTTTCTCTGTTCAATTGGCATAATCCAGTAGCTTGTTGTCAGCCTAACAGGTTGCACACAGACATTCATTCAACATGAGCCTAGGTCTTATATTATTCTACCGACTAATGAAATTATATATGTAAGTGCCTAAAGCGATATATGGAAAATACGTTTATTTGCGTTTTGACTTTGTTCTTATGCATCAATCGGAATATTTTACGATTTATCGTTGTGCACAAAATTAGGTTAAAATCCTAAAATATATTTTTTGTGAGCTCCCAAGTGAAACACGATGAAGAGATTTGGTGCAATCTACTGTGTCTACGAAGTGAGCTGCACATACTGCTCTTGAATTTTCACCGCACTCAGAGAGTAGGAACTCAATCTCCGGTGCCGCTTATTTGTTCGAGACCTATCGGAATCGGAATAATTTAAGAGAACGAGGAATTTCATATTTTTCGCTGCTTGTGATCAGACGTAGTGAACAGATCCAGGATCGTTGGGATCGTTGGATCACTGAACTGATAAAGCCACAAAGTCGGATGAAACACCCGAGTCGTTGGAACCCCGTTGAAATAGTGTACGAGTCGAATGACTAGATAGCGGTCTTCAGTTAACTAGAGACTTGACCCAAAGCCTTACCGGTTAAACTATTATGCCGAATAGGTAAATCAAGGTACTAAAATTCCCCTTCCTGTTTTTGAGCATTGAGTCCCCTTTATCCATTTCATCAATATACAAACAAAATAAATTTCGCGAGATGTTAACATTTCGTTTAATCTTCTCAATCGCTTACTTAAAACAAACATGCATATTTATATAGCTCATAGGGTTGTTCAATTATGGTGAATTAACGTGCACAAGCATACAAAATGTCAGTAAAATGGCCATATACATCAAGCTTGCGTTCAACGGTGACCACATTTATAATGATGTGTGCCATAAGTTCAGTTCTGCTCTAGACCGTACATTCCCAGTTACTCAACTCAGACTCATTGCCTCTACTCGTGGAACTGATTTGGGCAAACGTTAACAGGGTTGGCAAACCGGTTCTGTCACACACACTGTATACTAGTTCACTTGCAGTTGTGGTGACGCATACATAGGTAGAACAAGCCGCCGGCTCTTGCAACGGATGGCCGAACATATTCCAAAATGGTTGGTGAATTCGATGACGCAACCGACAGTTGATGGTCAAGTGATTACAATATATCCAGGGTCATCTGTTGCAAAATATCTCATGACAACAAGACACATAGCTGACTCCAATTAGTCTTTCAAACCACTTTTGCGCAATCGCAATACTCAACTCTTGGAAACTGGTGAAGCGGTGCTTATTTAATTACATCAACCGACCTTATGCGTACAGACGTTTTTGATACAATCCATCCACTTACCGTATTGTTCACCCTCCTATTTTTCCTGTTATCAGATAATAGATTATTTACCGGGCTTAGTTCAAAACACGTACACTTCTCCCATGATTAGAGAATTATTTCATTTTCTAACGCATTCTTTACCAAATAGTTATTCAATCGATAGATATCTGTGTTTCATTTCTATGGATTATCTGGGGTTTTTTCAAAAGTGCTTTGTCAATTTCAAATGAAAAACAAGGCGTGATAAAATAAATAACTTGTTTGAAGAAAAACTCTTCACTTGTTCTTTATCTTCGACTTGTTTTAAAACATCAACGCTTGACTTGTGACGTTTCTGTTCCTTTGAAAACTATACTAGCGTTTACACACAAAACATCACAGTGCAAGAGCACAAAAATGACCTATGCGGACGGCATATAACAAATTTCTCAATTTGCTGAAGACAGCATTTGTAGAAATATTATCCACCTCAACTAATTGAAAATATAAGAACGGGCATTTGACAATAAGCGTAATCGTTTTGACTCCGAATGCGAAAAAAAGCGGTGCCGCTACTTACCCAGGTGTTTAGTTACTCAAACAGAGTTGGTCTATCTTAGCCCCTTAACAGAGCATGAAACTGGCGTTTTGGTGTATTTTAATAACGCAGTCACAAGGTTGGATAAAAAATGTGATAACAATAATTATACACGCAATGAATGTTTGGATTAGACCGTTTGTTTATCACAAGCACCAGGCACCATTGATGATCTCGCGGGTGGGTTTCACACTTTGGAAGATCGTTAATTCCCCAATTAGTTGAATGCATTTCAATGCGTTGGAAGTGCTCGTGATAACCGACAAAGTGTACTGGGCAGCTGTTTCGTCCAGTTTGGGACTTGTCAGCAGTGCGTACATTTTGTGTTCCTGACAGGATTCAAACAACGAATAATAATAGTATTAATAGTCTCGAATAAAGTTTTGACTTCTGTTCGATCCATAACCGCAAACTATATGGTAAGATGTCGAGTACGAACGCGGTACTATTAACGTTTATTAGAGGATATTCAGTTTTTGCCGCGACTGTTTTTAACTCGCAAGACACCATTTGCCATCAAGTATTTAGTTACCGTGAGACATAATATAGTAGATTTTTTTTAGAAAAATTCTGTTGTATCCCAAGGTTGAGTAGGCCACAGCATCACCTGTCCCTCTACAAATTGGGTAAGGGATAATCTTTTCACAGATAAAAACAATAAATCATGAAATAACAAACCTTGCCTAGTTCGAATAACGTCTTCCGGATCCGAGTAGAAGAACGGCGCATTTTTCCTGACCTCCTGATTGCAGTCCCGGACTGTACTCTGTTCTCATAGTCAGTTTTGAATTTAGATGAGCAAGTTTTTTGCGGCAGAAATCTGAGAAGTAACTCGTTAATCTGTATTTTGATCGCTCTTGGTGTGCTCGCATTTTCGATTTTTAAGAACAAAACGAATCTGAACCCCTCTCCTTTTCAATGTGATAATTCCTTCCTTTCTGACGAATTCTCTGCCACCTTGCGGCACGATTATGTGCATCTTGAAACGGGCACATTTTGCTGGTTTGCTCTGGATTTTGGTGCTCCACGGACTGCTTTATTGAATTCGACTTTGCTGCAATTTGTTTGCCAACCAAAGGTACAATTGTGGTGTTTTGATTCTGCGATTGGGAAGTATTGTGAAGTTTACTTTTCTGTACAACCGACTGTATGACGTGTGTTTTATTGGAAGGCAATGAGGGTTCAAAATATGCAATAGCCGTTCAGGGTACAGTGGAGCTCAACACTGCGGATATCATCAGAGATTTTTGTAGAGGTCTCTGCTACACTCAGAGAGCATTCAAATTCGGATATGAAACGGTCCATATGCACATTAGTAGATTTGCCCCAGAATCTGTTCAATGAAGCAATGACATCTTTCAATGATTTATCCCTTAAGTTTATCCGGTCAAAGAATAGCCTGCCTTCGACACCCAGGTATGGTCGCAGTAATTTAACGCACAATTCATTTGTAAGTTTCAGTGAAGGATTGGATGCACGTAAAACCGTAACGTAATCAACGAACATAGTTTGAGAGCAGGGTCATCCCAAAATTGATCAATGGTACCTGGTAAATCAAACAACTTGCAGGTTCATTAACCGCGACGCCAAATTTTGTATCCCAATGTTAAGTAGGCCACAACAGATACGTATTACGAGGCAATAGGCGAGAAGAGTCTCTAAGGTCGCAGTTTTAAAGCATCATAAATGTGCACTACGGAGATGTATGATAATTAGGAAATTTCGAAAATCGATTGAAAACTGGGCGGGAAGAGACAAAGCTCTGTAATCGTTTCAGATTGTCAGACATGTGGTCATGATATAACTGAACACAAGAATCACTTGTATCATCTTTATCCATAGTTTTATCCCGTGAACCTGTCATTGAGGTGATAACTGGCACGGTGATTATACGTGCTAAATTAGCTCCTAATTTGTTGTTGTTCTTGATTTTGTTGTTGTTGATCTTACTGTCTTCGTCGTTCAAAAACGAATTAGCCCCAGTTGTCTGAAACCCTTCGCACACGCCAAATGTCTTGTCAATAGACGACTGCTTAGCACAAAGAAGGGCCATATGTTGACGCGTTTCTGCTTTCTCTAGAAAGACCGCCAGACCCACGCATTCACGTAACTGATAAAGGTAAAAATCCGCATTCATTTTTATCCCCAAGAAATCTCCTTATCACAGTGATTTGTTCTTCCTTAGTTTCACTTTTCTTCGCTGTATCGTTTTAGTTATTGTGATTTATGCCACTACTCCTGTGGCTGTTTCCTTCCCCTCTTTGAACACCGCCAACTGTTTGTCCCCACTGGGTTTTTTCCAGTCTTTCGCATTGACAAAATACTGATAAGCAGAATATTCTAAACGCCTGAGAAAAATCATTTGCCAGCGTAAGAAAATCTGTACGAGAACGCCCGGAGAAAGAAAGCTAGACACATACAGAACAACAAGAGTGACACGAGAACTCACACTTCAACACGTTCCACTTTGACACCCCATGGATCGGTTGCCTCGTCTAGCATGGTCTGATATTAGATAATATGAGGGAACGGAACAGCGGGCGAACGGGGATCCGGATGTAGCCAATTGGGCATGTGATCGGGGGAACAAAGAAACAGGAGTGTGGGATGGGGAGAAAAGACGAGAGATGATGATTATCACTGTTGTTGTCATTGTTCAAATTCGAGATGGCTGTGCGACCGAACTCAACCTAGTTACAATACATCATATTGTCTAAATTTTATCTTATTTCTGATTAACTACGCAACGTAACACATCTTGAATCAGCCATTTCTTTTGTAATGAATAGTGCTTTCTTATAAATCGATAAATGAGCTTTTTAGTTGGTCTCATTTCATCAAAAACCTAATGATCTGAAAAGGTACGTGTTCTTACTTAAAAGATCACTTATCTCGTATTGCGCAATATTCCATTTAGTGTGTCCCTANGTGTGTCCCTAAGAAGAAGACTTATTGAGCTTTGTCTTGGTCAGCGAATTCTCAGAAGTAATCATTAACTCCGATTGTAGTTTGGATAATGGAATTGGATATTCAGAAGACTTAATAGAGATTACCAACGCTTGAAACTTTAGATAACATGTAACTGGTTTATTTTATCAGTTCAACACTTTCAGTGCAGACAGAGCCACAGATTTCATGATAAGTACTGGATTAGTCTGAATTACTGTCAAGAACATAAGATTACACCGGAGAGAGAGAGAGAGATAAAATCATTTCTTTAACCTATGAACCGGTATACTATACGGATCTGTTATGTAAAAGTGAGCAACTTTGAAAAAGAAACAACCTGAGCAAATGGGATCGTACAAATAACAATTCGAGTTGTAACAAAATAAGTTTTAGACAACTCTGAGGTGCAACATTGGCTTCAGCGTTTTCCGCATCCGTTTAGAAATGAACGGATTCACATAAATCGATTCAACTATGTCCCATTTATGTGCTAGGTTCACGTTTAATTAAGCATAATTCGATTGTTTAATGATCGTCTGTACTTTTGTAGAGTGAACAAGGTGAAAAAAATGCTAGAAAAACCAGTGAGGAAGAGGACGATCCATCTGGAGATGAAACGCAACCTAGAAGGAGATGGACGAGAGTATATTCAGACACCAAATAAATCTATGAAACAAGAATGAGATAGTTAGTATTGTTCGTTTCCCCTTATACACTGAGAGCGCTGTAACCAGACAATATATTTTCCATTTGTTTGGATTACCGGCGACACCCGGTCGGTAGTTAAGTCCCTCTCGCTCGTTACGGTCTGTCGATGAGCAATTTAATTAGTTCCATGCTGATTATACTCCACATAGAAACCGGTAGATGAGGACTCATTTGATAAATAACTGCTTGATACGTGTGACCATGTGGTCTAACTAACTAACAATCGTGTTTGACAGAATTCATTTTGGACCAATAAAAACGCGGGATATCCAATCACCATTTTGCAGACCAAATAACTCCATTTTGCTGTCTGATCTCTCACCAATTTATCTGTGACGAGATACTCGGAGCAGCATTGTCCAAAATAACGCTGGATAACTTTAGAGCACAATATAGTGTGGTGGATTCCACATCACTTGAAATTTTCAATGTGTTCATTGCTTGCCTGGTCAGATGCTGCCATGAAGCTTTTCACAAATGCGTCGAGCTCAACGCACTGTATATTGATGGAGTGATCATGCGCTGAAGTTACCCGTATGCGCTATCGCATATTTCATTAACCAAACAGTAAAGCAACGAGAGTCGATGGGTGGAGATGGAATTTTCGGCCAAAGAACCGAGATGTTTAACATCTTTACTGTGGCTGTCTCCTTAGAAATGATAAGCCTGTTCCAGACATGATCATGGTCATTAAGTTCCACGGGAGTTTGATACGAGAGACTTCCCCAGCGTCACTCGGCGTTCTTTTATTTTGAGGGCGCACCTCTAACATTTGCACAACCAAGTGCCACCTGCAAGGCAGCAGGAAGTAATCCCTTGCCTCGGAAGTGAAAAGGGGTTAATGAATTTAGTCTTAAAAGGCTAATCAGATCAACCTTTGTCAAGACACAGTCATTGGGCCTATGCGGATTTTAAACAGGAGCCAGGTGACCAGCTTGAAACCCACCACAACCTGGTAGTGCCGCCGCTGTTTGTTCGCGAAAGCCTATATGTTGCGGTATGCTACAACTTATTCACAGATAACCTTCTTCTTTGAAGATATCCTCCTATCCACAACCCGGGGACGCACCTGGTAGTCGATGAACGAAGGTCAGTGCAACCTTCACTAAATCGGTCGCTTTCTCAGTTCACAAGAACATCCACAAACGGATCACATTTTGGAGGTGCATCTCATGGTAGCTCTGCCATTAGTCGATTGCTCTTTTGATATACAATCGATTTTGCAGTTATTTTATCAATAAAGTATTTACCATGGCCATCACTTCGCTATGCGATGATTCTTCACCAGGCGTGACGTTTGCTATTTTCTTAGTTACGGGAAAGTAGAATTGACATTTTCATGGAGCGATAGGCCCGTGTAAACTGATCAAATAAAAGCTAACAAAATAAATGGCTCAAGGTCGAGCCGTTTCCGCGGTACTCTTTTCGAATTGCTCAATTAGTAGAAACAACCTAGCACATTAGCTTAACTAGGACAATGAAAAGACTGCCAGCATATGTTATAGATCTACCGGAAAGTTCCCTTCATTTCTATCACAACAGATTTCGACACGTAAGCAAATGTTTATTTGGCCCAAGTTTTTCTCTACAATTTAGTCAATTATTGTATAAATGCTGACGTAGCAAATTTACTAAAAAAAGTTGATTTACGTGAATGCGACCTTTCTGATAAGTCACATTCTGGGCCACCATCTTGGATCAACGAAAATGTTGTTACGACCATGTTAGAACAATCCCCTATTTTAACCAAATCGGAGATCGCAGAAGGGCTTAATGCAGCTCAGCAAGTCATTTCGGACCATATTCGGGAGATAAGATTGATGTGAAAATACAAAAAAATGGGTACCACATGAATTAGGTCAAAGTAAATTGGATGATTGAGTCGTCATGTGCACAACTCTGCTTGCTCGAAACAAAATTGAGCCCTTCTTGAACCGGGATAATGTTTTGTATTTGGTGGGACATTGGAGGACCAATACATATATTATGAGCTTTTGAAATCGAACAAAAAGCTCAATTCGGAGAAGTATTGTCAGCAACTGGATAATTTAAAGATAGCAGTCCAAGAAAAGAGGTCGGCGATGGTCAACAGGAGGAACATCATATGATAACATATAATGACATCATTATGATAATGCCAAGCCATATGCTGATTTAGGGACTCGTTAGAAAATTGCAAAAGTAGGCTAGGAAATTCTGTCGCATCTACTATATTCCCGGACTTGGCAACCCCGACTATTGATAGTTTTTATCCTCACAAATATTTTGGAGGGCAAACAATTACAAACGAAAAAAATATAAAACCATCAATGGTTCAATTTTTCACGTCTCAAAATGAAAAAATTCCAAAAACCGGATTTACCAAATGGCCTTACGCTGGCAGGAAATTATCATTTTCAGTCAGTTTCAGTTTGCACAACCAATAGCCATGCACTATAGTGCGCCAGTTTTGGTTGCTATCTCACGGCTACCCATTTGGATGAGCATTAGGAGAAAGACAGGAAAGGTTGAAAATAGGATCGAAGAGAAAATTGAAAAGTTCACTAGATTAATGATATAGAGGAATTGAGAAAATGCATGAACGCCGCTGTTTACGACACCCAGCCATATCCTTCAGTGTTTCTAACTATCGGGTACGACCATCCTGATGTCCCCATCCAAGGAGCCTAACGGGACCTGTGTGATCTAAACTCCTGGTTAGGGTTTTCATACCCTCAATAATGATGGAAATTATATTATTGTATAGAGCTTATTGACGTAGGAAAACGGACAGAACTTTGAGTTATACATATGAATGAGCTGACAAAAGATTACCGGATATGCATGTCTGACTAGCAGCAAGAGCTGCAAAACCGGTTGTGTGCTTCCAGGGACATTTTGGCTAGTCATCCATAGACTACTTATTATGAAATATATTTACTGCGCAAAATGTTGAAAACGCTGTCGATTTCATAATTATTGCTCGGCATAAATATTGTAGTTTTCATCACACAGTCTACTATCCTGAATATCACCTCAGTTCTGTCGAGGTGTGTTGTCAATTGTAGTATAAGTTGGGTTGCAGTTGTTTCTTCCGGCCGAGGAAAGGCGAAAATAGGGAGATACAAATGGGGTAAAAAAATAACGCGTAATGTTTTGCGCTTCAGCTCACTAATTAGGTCCACTTTGTGTCGAGTATGAGTACTACCGGAGGTTCTAATTAAACCGCTTTCATTCATCGACTGAGAAGTTGTTCCTTTTTTGTGCAAAGATTGTACATGCATGTTCAGTGTGATTTTCATATCCCCAAAACAAAACACTGTTGGGAATCCGTGCTGTAGATTTGAAAAGCAACTGCCTCCGCGTTTTAAACCGATTTACTAGGTACTGGGCTTACATTTTGTTCCAATAGTCAAGCATGGACAGGAATTCAGAGCGATGCTGCCCAGGTTTTACCTTTTGTTCTTCTCTATTTGGTAAAATCTCAAACGCCGGAGACATATTTTGATATTTTGCTTTACTTGAAATAATTCGACAGGTTAAATACAAACAAATATATTTGAAATTGATCTGGTCAATAGTTAAATAAAACTAATTATTCAATATCACTGCCGGTTTAATCTCACTCGAAAAAGATAGTAGTGCATGCTGACCGAGCCTGAAACGACTTGAAAAGGGATGCTTATTTTATTTATTGTTATTCTGTTCCCATAGTTTGAGTGATCACGATATTTAATGGATATCTTCAAAATAAACGAAATATGTTATTACCCAATGGTTTAATCATAACCACGTTTATTTTTATATTCTTTCATGGGCAATCAATGGTCTTTCATACATTTAGTTCTTTTTAAAAAATTCGTTGCGCATGCCGCAACTGAAAAATCTGTTTTATTTGCCTAGTCCGGAAAGTATAACCGGACGTTTCTAAAACAACAAATGATACTTTTGTGGGTAAAGCTAATTATTATTGAGATAAACAATAGCTTTTTAGACACGTATGAGTATATACTAATTATGGGATAAAGATTTCATGGTTTAGAGAAAGATATCATGAACCACCAACATTTTTTAATGATTTAATAGGGATTGTTAGGAGATTTCATATTAAGTGAGGCTGGTCTAAGAAAGAATCCTTGTGTAAAATAATTAATCGGGGGGGGGGTACACCTTTAAGTGGGTTCCCATGGCGCTATGTTCGCCGAGGTGGTCAGTGGGTGGGAAAAGCCAGTGGTGATCAAAATATAACCTGACACGAGAATATGAAAACTCAGGAGACTCGGCCGTATGGGCCTCGTTGGACTCTTTGGATGGAGAGCTCTGGATCACTGTAACCTATGGTTAGAGACACTTAGTGATATGGCTGAGTGTCGTAAACAGTAGTGTTAGTGCATTTCCCAGTTTCTTTGCAACTTTAGTCTACTGAAATCATCCGTTTTCTCTTCCACTCTACTTTCAACTTTCCTGTCTTTGTCCTACTGTCTAACAAAATGGGCAGCCAAAAGATAGCAACCAAAACCAGCGCCCGAAATGGCATGGTTATTGGTTGTACGAAACGAAGCGGAAACAACATGCCTTATTCTGGATTATGTTGTCCTGTGTTCTTTTCTATTTTTTAAAACAATTCTGATGAGTACCAATCTTTTAGCAATGTTTTTTTTATCTAGAAAGCAAATCCAGTAGTAATTCATTTGTAGCATTTTTTCCAATGAGAACAAAAAGCAATTCAAATTACTGAATATATAAGTTGATCTCCAACAAGTATTGACAAGTATAAACATTGATGCAAAACATACTGGAACACGTGATTAACGATAGTGGTTAAATCAAACAGCCAGAAATTGAAAGTTCGTTTTGACAAACCTTACTCTCTAGCGTATTCAAAACATTTCTTTCTGTTGTCACTTCTTATAATTGTTTACACTGATAAACCACAGGAAGTCCGGGAAGAAATTGAACGTGCAATCAATCCGAGTTCTCGATTTGTGTTTTGAAAGTTAGGTCCCAATCGCTGCACCTTGATGATTTAGCCTTCATCTTTTGTTTTGTCTTTTTCGTCCTTTTTATTTTTACTGAATAAATATATTTATATTTATATTTATATTATATATTTATACAGTCAACATTCAGGGAGGGCAAAATACAGAAATAGGGAAGACGGGCGGCGGCGTCGGAGCGGTTCGAACCCGGGACACCCAGGTCACAAGTTGCTGACTTAGTCACTTGACCAATACCACCGCCCAGGGTTAGTTTGCATTCGTGTTCTCCAACAGACCACTGGGATCGTTCAAAATTTCCTTTAGCTGTCTAAGGGTTAATTCACCTTGAATGATTAAGTAATCACCAAATATTAAATGTGATTTTACCCTTCCCATGTACAAATTCATTTTGACATTAGAAAACCATCTGTACTGCATATTGCCGTACTCCTCTGGGATTCAAACCGGTGAACCACGGGGTTAATCCTGTTTGCCGTGCACTTTAATTGTATTTGCCGCCCTGCTCCTAATCCCCTGTATTTGTCGGGCATCAGGCGTGCAAAACTTGGCGTTAGGAACAATTCCTAATGATTTATCCTTACATTTAATCGTCAATAGGGAATATAGAGACAACTTATTTTGGCTGATTTAGTGAACTTATTTTAAAGATTTTAGTGCTGCCTGGAAGTAAAGCAAGTAGCTCTGTAAGTCAACCCCAGAAATCAGGAGCAATAATGTTCATACACAGTGTAAAAAAAATTGACGCGAATGTAACATTCCGCGTCAGGCTTTCATTATGAGAACTATTCGTCCGGAACAAGAGATTTTCATTTGGAAAAGGATGAAAGCGGATACATTGAGGTTAATCTGGTGAAATACCTGAAGTCTTACGCTTATAGTTCATGGGAATGACCTCATCCTTCATCCCATATCGGGTTGGCATGAGTTTCAGGATTCAAACCTCCAACACGAAAGTGCATGGTTGTTTTTTTGATGATTGTGAAACTAAGACTGAACCGGAGTGACCTTATAAGCTTGTACATGCATGAAGGATGCATGATTTCGTTTATTCCCATCACATAATTTGTCACTAGCTTCTTACTGATTTTATCCCAGACTCTAGGTCAGAGTGTTAAAGTTTATTTAGTGAATCTAGTTATTTTATTTTTTATTTTATAAAATGTTTTCGCATCCAGTGCCTTGGTATTTGTTTGGGGCTAGTGTTTTTCTACTGTACGCCTGAAGTGATTAAACTGGCGGGTTCCAATACTTACCTCGGGGTAATTTTTTCGATGGCTGCTGATTC